ATTTAAAATTGAAAATTACAATTCAAAGATCAAGTTTCAAATAATTTAGGATAACAACTTAAACATTTGCAATCAATATTTTCTTCTGTTCGCGAGCACAATGACTTTAATATGGAGGTATTTATTGCTTTCGATTATCGCAGTTAAATGCAAAGCTGGTGGTATTGTCGATTTAAATGGGCAATGGCATGTAAGAGATACGAAAAGACGTAAGTATATTATTCCGTAAATAAGTTGCTAAAAATATAGGTTTTTAAATTACTATTTTCCATAATATATTATTAGAGTTTATTTAAAGAGCTTGTAATTACAATCGAATACGGCCTATTTGGGTCATTATCATCAGATAGCAGCAGGAAAAAAGAAACATTTTATCGAGTACTAACCTATAGACAGAAAACTAAGAGAAAGACTAAAAATAATAAAAAAAATACATAAGAAGATTAAAGGGTGTAGACTGTTAAATAACATCAATATTAATCTTTAATTGATATCAATATAGAAAAGAATGAAGAAAAATGGTAAATATGGCAAAGACATACCTTGACTTATAAAAATCTGTTAACTGATCATATACATATTATACTTTGTGGAAGGACGCTCGACCATTACAAATTTAACGAATATTTCTCAATACATTTCTGAAGCAATTGACAAGCAAACACAAACTGATATTATCTACATACATTTTTCTAAACCCTTCTATAGACTTGACCATGGAATACTCTTGCAGAAATTATTACCATTTGGCATCTCCTGTTCTCTACTAACTTTATTTGCGTCGTATTTGGCGAATCGTAAGCAATTTGTAATGTATATTGGGTTCAAGTCCATCGAATATTTAGAAACTTCTGGTGTTCCACAGGACAGCAATTTCATTTACCCATTTACCCTTCAACATTTTCATTAATGATGTTATAGAAAAAATCAATGTTAAGTGCTTGTTATATACTGATGATTTAAAAATATATTGTGAGATCACTGTTACATTAAGGAATGGTTATCTGTAAACAAACTTACACTGAATGCATCCAAGTGTCCTTCGCTTTAAACAAATCTGTCATCTTTTCTGATTATAACCTCAATAATACCTTCAAAGACCTCAAACTTTTACTGATTTGGGAATGACATTTGATGAAAATCTGTCATTCGTGCAACATTATAGCAAAAGCTAGCCGTGTGTATGGATTTTTAGCGAGAAATATTAGAGATTTCAATAAAAAACAAATCTTAAAAACTGTATATTATGAGTACGCCAAATCCAATCTTAAATATTGTCATGAATTCCTAATCCGATCCTGTGTACGCACGCAACCGACTCGTGATCGAAGCAACGCTGACGTGTGGAAACAGCCGGCCCGCGTCTCGAATATACAAGAATACGACGAAATGCCTGCCGCTGATGCCCCAGAAACAGCTGGAACGGCGGGGAGTGCCGTTTAGTCATCGAAGTAGAATCTTCGCGAGCCTCTAACATTTTCCAGTAGCGGAGTTGGACTAATATAAATAGCCGACGTATCAGCGCCGAGTTTAGTTTAATATAGAACATTGTATTGAAAAGTTAATGTATAAGAAATAAATTAGAATTGTTAGTGTCTAAATATTATATAAATTAAATAGTACGTCTGAAATAAATTGTAAATAGTGTGTTTTTAAATAAATAAACTAAAAATAAATTAGACTTTCGTCACAATATACTTCGGTAGTATGGAGTTCATACTACCCAGTACCATTCTAATAACTTAGAATTGATTTAACGAGGATTTCTGAAATAGAAATGCAATATCTTCCCATGGGTATATTTTATGAGGATCTGCTTCAAAGACACAACTTTTATCGCCTATCCAATCCATATGCAGGCAGTGTCAATCAGTACAAGTTAGTTAATAACTTAGTAGATGACATTCAATTTGTTACGAAAATCTTATTTACTGTTTCTAGGATTGCATCACGAAGCAGTATTACCTTTCATCTGTCAACTGCGTGAACCAATATTTTATAGATAATTTAATAAGTAACCTACCTGATTTATTCAACTTATCTGTATTCTCAATAAAAAAATGCATTATTAAATTAGTATTGCTATTTGTGATAAGTAGATAATTTTATATGTATAATTGCAATCTCAAATTCCTCATCCTGTAATTTTAAAATTATTGGGTTTTATAAATAAAAAAATTATATTGTAATTAGTTCTGATTATTAAAATACACTCTTTTATTGAATTTTTAGATTACTCAGACATAAGCGCAACCGTGCCCGGTGGTATTTATACTGATTTAATGGACAACAACGTAATTGGAAATATTTTTTATGGATACAATGATGTGGAAACAAATTGGATTCCAGAAAACGAATGGACTTACTACAAGAATTTCACAGGTAAGCATGTAATAAATATATATGTACTTTTATACGCATTTTTTTTCTACAAATAGTTTTATATTTCGATTTTTTTTTAATTAAAAGTATATGTTGAAGATGTCAATAAATGATAATCACAAAACACTCATTTTGTGCTTGTGTCGATTTTTAGACCTCGTCGACCCCCAAAATCAATTTTCGCTTATGTCGACCCCTGGGAAACCAATTTCAACCCCAAGCGGTATCGACCACTTTGGGAATCCCTGATCTAAATTCTGATTATTGTTAATTTTTTAAATCTATTTGTCATTAAGGTTTACACTCGTGAAGTAAAATTTGATATTTTATAATCATGTTTAGTTTATATTGGAAAAGTGTGGTTTGAATTTGACAGTGCAGATCTGTAAACTAGACAAAACGGTTTTCCTCAATAAATGTGGTGTCTCTAACTTGCACCTCTACCTAATTTCGCCATATTTACAGATTTGCAAGGTTGAAAACGATACATTTTCTCTAATATCACCATCTCTTCTCTATCATTACTTATTATGTTCTTCAAAATTGTTAGCTATTCTTACATTACTTACTTTCTTTAAATATTTTTAGTAAATGAAGAAATGTTGAGCATTGATAATGTTAATTTGGTTTTTGAAGGACTGGACACTTATGCTAGAATATCGGTAAATGGTAAAAGAGTTGGAGTTAGTCAAAATATGTTTTCTCGATACGTTTTTGACGTTAAAGATAATATAAAGGTAAACATTTTATTAAATTAGTATGGTATACCAGGCATATTATTTATTGAATATTTTTGTTTTTATAGCTAGGAGTAAACAAATTGGAAGTACGCTTTTTATCTCCCATTAAAACTTCACAAGCAATGGCTGATAAACAGAAATACGTCGTACCTCCAACATGCCCACCAACCGAATACAGAGGAGCATGTAATGCAAATATGCTCAGAAAGATGCAAGCATCCTATTCGTGGGATTGGGGACCATCTTTTCTATCTGTGGGAATATGGTAAGGGGTGTTATAACGAAAATGATTAATATATTAAATTTAATACTTGATATTTTAGGAAAGATGCATTCGTCGAGTATTTCAATGAATCAACAATTAGATACATAGGAACAGAAATTAGCGCTGATAAAGATAACTGGTATTTGGATGTCGATGTTTATTTCGCACCTAAAGGTTGGCTGAAAGCTGCCAGAGTAGAGGGCACCCTTGATTTAGACATAGTGGGACTCATTTCCATAAAAGATATATCTCTGGAGGTTGGGGAAAATCCTGAAGGAGAATATATTTATACTACAACAGTCACTGTCTCTAAGGTTAGTATTTGTAGTAGTATCATATGTCTTTTTAGTGCCTATTACACTACATACTTATCTTGTTGTTCACTTTGATTTACAACGATACCAGACAGTATTTGTCTTAACTTTTGTTTTGTAAAATGATGAAAATAGTATTTTAGAATGTTTTAGAGTAGCGCAGATCTTAACCATGTTCTCGCCAATGTCATGGAATATAATAAATTTTATGTCATGTAGGGTCACAAAGCAATCATAAATCAGAGAATAATATTTACGTCGGCTTCTTTAATCTCGGTAAGACCACTGAACAACATAAAATTATTATATTTTATTTTTTCAAGTGAAACACCATGTATTTTATTTTATTTTTGAATTATAGTAAAAAATCTGAAGCGGGGGTAAGGTTAATTCGTACAAAAAAGTCATATTTTTGTGTATTTTTTTTGACGATACAGTTAAAAATCTGTTTATTTAAACTAATGGTACATTGAAGTATAACATTCAAAGAATATTGTGTCAAATTTTCATGTAGAAATATTAAAAAATACGGAAATGGTAGCAATTATTCGGAAGCGTCTCGGAAAAAAGTAGAATTGCGGTGCCCCTCCTAACTCGGTGCTGGATGATCATCAGAAATAAAAAAATCAAAGTCCTCTTCTTAGATAATTGTTTTCCCCATGTAATGCTGGGAGGGTTTTTTTTCGAAATTTCAATTTTTCACTTTTTGGGAACACTTTGAAGTCTTGCGAAAAAATAGGCTTCATTAGTTTTGCTCCGATTCATCTCAAATTTTCACACATTCTTGAAATGTTTTCCATTCACAAAAAATGTAAAAAAGATTTTAAAAATTTTACTCCCCCCCTTAAGTATTTTAGTTAAAACACCATATGTCTAAATCCAATTGTTTTCAAGCTTTTGAAATTCGAAAGAGTTCACTTTTTCACATTTTGATGTCCCTATTTTAATGTTTTATACTTTATGCAAATATGCAATAAAACAACCCACTTCCGGTTTAATCGGAAGTTAGGTTCTTTTATATTTAATTGATCTAAAAGTTCGCATATCTGAATAGGATATGAAAAACTAAGATAGGGATACTCTAATTTAAAGCGTTTGGGTGCTACAGTTGTCAAAGTATAAAAAAGTCAATTTTCAAATGCCATTTGTTTGAAAACAATTAAATTTAAACACATTGTGTTTAGACAAAAATACTTAAACTTTTTTTGTAGAAATATGCAAATGTAAAATAAAATACAGGGTCTTCCATTTGAGAAAAAGAATTGTTATGTGTTGTCTTGCTTTTTGGAGGCTGACTGGACCATATTATAATGAAATATTTAACCACTAAATATTTGACAAAATATATTAATCATACATTCATACAGGGTGTTGCATCGTCGAGCGGGACATAGGAAATCACATGTGAAATTTTGAATGGTGTCAATTATTGGATTCCCTAATTTTTTTAGAGAAAATATCTATTTGGATTAATTAAAGAGTACTAAAACTCACATTCAAAAGAATAACTTTAGATATTTTTGATTAGCCCGTTTACGAGTTATTGCCGATTTATTTTTAAATATTTATCCTTTTTTATGGCATTGATGGAACATGAAATGTTGCTTATTTGGAATATATACCTTTACACAACGCTCATGACGTCAGAAACCGTGTTTCAGTCGGGTATAATTTAAAATAATTTGAAAATGAACCCTATTAAATTGTACCTACCTAACATTTATGGCATCACTGGCCGAGTTGGCATCGGGTATATTTTCAAATGTAGAAACTGAAAATTAACCCTATTAAATTGTACCTTTACTTAACATTTGTGACGTCACTGGCGGAGTTGGTTTGGGGTATATTTTCAAATACAGGTTTCAAGACATTTTAAAACATAAATCCTATCTCAACGAACTTAGAAACTCGTCTGTCATTCGATATTTTAATCGTTACTTTCTCTTCGCTTTTTGACTGGCATAACAATTATTTACATTTCTTCATTCCTTACCGTGTACGAACCAGGACGGTTTAAAGAAATTAAAAAAAACCTACTTTAAAAATGAAGATGTTAATGATTTTCTTATTGATCCCATCTTCAGATCGTGACTAAATGTACATGAAACTATTAATTTTCAAACAAAAAGAGAATCATAGAAATCGGGCAACGTAGTAAAGAATTATCGCTCAACATACATAAAAAAATATTTCTACGAATTGAGAATATGCTCCCATTTTGAAGTATGTTAAAAAAATTGTTAATAAAGTGCAAAGTAGGGCTTGAACATATATTATAAAGTATATAAAATCATAAATAAAGCCAGTTTAGAAACTTTTATAAATAAACTGTGGTAATATCGAGAATCTCGATTTTGATTGGAGGGAAGGGTATTTTATGCAATTTAGAATAAAAGCTGATCAAAATGAAACACATGAACGACACGCTAATGTTATTAACGACTTTTTTCAAACGTTTTTTAGTTTTCCGAAAACTAACTGGATAGTTCGGAAATTATTTCCGTCGTTGAAGCGTCTCTATTTCCGAAAAAGGTACATGCTTGTCAACATTCATCGTTCAATAAAACGCTTCGTTTTGTAAGGCCAAAATATATTTAGAAATTAAAAGAGTTATATGTATAGGGTGTTATTGAAATACACGTACATATTAAAATGGGGAATAGTATGTAATGACCAAAAACGATTGGCACCAATTTTAACTTCAAATTCTAAAATTTAAATATTGGGGAAGAGTCCCCTTTTCCGACCTACTAGTTTCCATATTTAAAGAAGTAAAATAAATCGAAATTGAACTTACCCATAGAAATTGCACTGTTGCCGTAGCAAAACCAATTAATTCAAAATAAAGTTTATTACAGTAATTGTTCAAAATGCCGTCCATTATTATTTACACACACTTGCAATCGTCTTTCCAAAGAACGTTGAACATTAGAAATTAGTCTTCGATTTTGTCGTAGTTCCTCGGCTACCGCATTAACTTTATTGGTTAATTGTTCAACACTATTAATAGGTTCATTATAAACCAGTTGTTTCATGTGACCCCACAAAAAGAAATCGCATGGATTTAAGTCCGGAGATCTCGGAGGTCATTTAGTAGGTCCATTTCTGCCTATCCACTTTTGAGGAAATCTAATGTTCAAAAACTGCCGTACGTTTAAATCAAAGTGAGGAGGAGCGCCATCTAGTAGGTACCACATCCGTTGCCTTAATTGTAACGGTATCTCTTCTAGGAGTACTGGCAAAATATCTTCTAAAAAGTGGAGATATCCTGGCCCATTTAATCTGTTCGGGAGAACATAAGGCCCGATTAAATACTGATCTATTATGCCAGCCCAAACATTTATTGAAAATTTTCTTTGATGCCCAGTTTCCCTAATGGCGTGAGGATTTTCATCACTCCAAATATGCGTATTGTGCATATTGAACACGCCATCACGAGTAAATGAAGCCTCGTCAGTATACAATAATATTTTTAGAAAATCAGGAATATCAACACATTTTTGAATCATCCATTCACAAAACTCCACTCTCTTTTCTTCATCACCTGGATATAAGGCCTGGACTTTTTGGATGTGATAAGGATGTAAACCTTGTTCTTTAAGTGTCCGCCACACAACAAATGAGGACACTCCAATTTCAAGACCTAGTCTTCTACAACTTAATTGAGGCCGGTTTTCAACAGCTTCCAATATTTCTTCTTCGGCCGCCAATGTTCTTTGTGTTCTTGTTCTCCCTCGATCTGCATTGACACTCTCAAATTTTCCATGGTCTCTTAGATGCTGAACAGTTGAAATAAACGTACGACAGTCCGGAATTCTCCGATTTGGAAACCGTTCGCGATACAGGATTTGTGCTTGCCGAGAATTTTCTCCAGCTGCCCCATAAACCAGCACTATATCCGTTAGTTCAATATTCGTAAATAGTGGCATCGTAAAAAAATATTTAAAAGTAATCGTAACAACACTTTTTACCAACTTGGAAATGACGCGCTCGTGTTAGCCATATTCGTAAATCAACTAAAATTTTAATAATCTATAGTTTCAAAAATGTATAGTTTAAAAACAATCATTTATCAAATATTCTAGTTTTTTGATAACGAGGGTAGTAAAAACCAGTCTTCGGAAATAGAAATTAATTCGAAAATCTTGGCAACATGGTTATTTCTTACAAGACTAGTTTTCTTATCATCTGACAAAAACTTGCATATTAATTACTGTTGATGTTTAAAATAGGTAAATAAACCTAATTTATATAGGTCATCCTCAACATATCAGTGAAGTACGTTTGTTTTAGAATTAATTTTCAAAAATTAATAACTCCCTTAATAAGGGGTATTTTTAAAAAATAATATTTTTCTACATTCAGTGGGGATCTGCGCAATACCCAGTTTTAATATGTACGTGTATTTAAATAACACCCTGTATAAACAAAAAAATTATAAGTGAGGTAACTATCAAATTAATAATTTACAACTTTATTCTTATTATTTATAAAATAGGTGTGCAACGTGCTGATGTGGAATGTTATCATCCACTAAAAACTTTAAATCTTTGTACTAAATTGATCAAAAACAATCCATAAATTGGTTAAGAATAGAATGTTTTTAGTAAGCAGCGACTAACTTTTATTATGGAACCGAAAGACTCTTTTAAAAGGGTTCAAAATTAAAATAAAATATGTACCAAGTAAATGTAGTAGTATTTTTTAATTTTAAATCTTGAGAGATGCAGACATCTTTGGATAGTTAATATTGAAAATGGTAACATGAAAGGTTTTCCATCTAATTGTTAGTAACGACTTATGGTCACGGCTGACAAAATGTAAAAAAAATATTGAATATAATATTCCTCGGCGAAACGCAACTACCCTCTATTTTGCACTCCCCAGATTACTTATAGCAAATGATATAAACCGAATAAGATGTCAGATCATAAGCAAAATCTCGTGATTGTAGCACTAATGACTGCCGAAAATTAACTAATTCATATTTTATAGCATATCTTTCTTAATAATGACTTTCAGAACCATATCTTACTTGAATTTTTTTCAACGTTTTTTATATGGAATCATCTCTAAAAATGTATGATTTCCAACCTGAAACATCGTGTGAACTGTTTGTTTGATCAATAAAAAACTTGCATCGGTCCTGTCCGAGCTAGCACCGTCATGTGCATGAGCTTCGACAGACTATTTTCTCTTTATGGTTTCATTTTGGATATATGGAATTGGCTTTCTATACTATTTCCATGATTTATATTCACTAAATATACCAACTTATTTTATGACTAATTTATTTGTATTCAAAACTACCCTGATTTATATTTATTTAACAATTTATCTTTACTATCCATTTTTATTCAAAAATATAATGACATAAAAAAGCCAGTCCTGTCTCAAAGAATCTCGATGCTAGTTTTCGTTCTAAAAATCGTTCCTCTATGAGTCAACTCGCGTTTAAAGAACCTTCCAGTACCTTCTCGAGTCTCGAAGCGGACAACGAAAGCGGAACAAAGACGCGCTGCTGAACGGCGTGAACAGATATCAGGGTCGGACTAGTTAAAAATCACTCACACAACAATATGATGTTGGGTTTTAAATTACAGTGGATGCGATTCCTGGCCTCCTTTTCTTTAAGCCAAATGGTATTATCATTCTTCATTTGTAAATCGCTTCGTGACAGGGTTTCACTCGTAAGGGGTTAATCTTAGGAAGATTTTTTTATAATAATGTACCTTCATCACTTGTACTATGTTTACTTTCTTTGATTATTTCAAGTATATTTATTAATTTTCTTGGTGTTGAAATAAAATATAGTAATATTGTAGAAAGAAGTAAACATGTGGTGGCCAAACGGTTATGGAGGGCAAGAACTGTACACATTATGGGCCAAGTACAAATCAAAATATGGGGATGAAAGTACAAAGTCGGTAAGGGTTGGTTTTCGAACTATAGAACTTATTCAAGAGTCACTCGGTGAGTAGACCTATAGGTCAATCTTTTCACATCAGTATATTTTTTTAAACGGATTGATTTTTATTTTAGGTCATGGAGGTGGTCTTAATTTCTATTTTAAAGTGAATGGATTACCTATTTTCATGAAAGGAGCCAACGAAATTCCCTTAGATATTTTACCGGAACGAGGGCAGGATCGCGATTTAATAAAGACTCTAATGGAAACAGTCAAAGAGTCACACATGAATATGTTACGTGTTTGGGGTGGAGGAGTTTACGAGTCTGATTATTTTTATGATTTAGCCGATGAATATGGTATTTTAATTTGGCAAGATTTCATGTTCGCCAATGCCATGTATCCCGTGGATACTGATTATATATTGTAAGAAAATAATGTATTAGGAATTATAAATTTTTAAAATTTAAAAATGTAGTAGAGTTCGTTAAATGTAGCTAAGCAGTTTTAAAGGCAATTATCTCACCAGGGTGCGTATGCTTGAAAACGAGAGAAACTGAAACTCCCCGGGGAATATATTCACTTTATTTTCACTTTCCCAAAAAATTGGTATTCTTGAAATAACGTGAAAGCCAAGGGAAGAGAAAGTAGATGGTGAAAATAAATACAGAGTTGTCAGATCGTTTTAGATCATCCGACCGATTAGAAACTACGAGCTTTTGACAGCAAATGTCACTTCTGGCATTTTAAGAATTTAGGTTATTATGATTTCTTTTTATCGACAACGGAATTTTGACTTTTTCACGCATACACATTTTAAAATACTATTGTTGATTAAAAATAATATTAACTGTTTTAAATAATTATCAAACTAAAAATTCAAATATCTTGGCAAAAATTCATGTAATATTTTTCTAAATGTTTAGTTTTAGTTTTAAAGCGTCTTTATTTACAGTTAAAAACTCTACGATTGTAGGAGGTAGGTACCTACCAATTACTTTCCTAAATAATTAATCATTTTAAAAACACGAGTCAAAGTACAAACAAATTTAAAAAGATGTTATTACTATTGGAAAAGGGGAGTATTATAGTGTACGGGGATAGTTTTACACTACTACCTTTTATAACTAAAGAAGTTGTTGCTCCATTTTGTCAATTTGTCTAAAATGTATCTGTATTGAATAAAAATTATTCTTATTATTTTCGCGTCTAAATCCATTTTAAAAGGAAAGTAAATAGCGCAAATGTATAAATATACCTGAAAACTACTAACAACATCAATGAGGTTATAGTAATATTTTGATTTTTATTTAATTTCTGACAAGCACTACGCATGCTTGTGAATTGAATTCTCTTGTTATTTTCATTCTCTCTACCTAAAAGTAGGAGAAAGTTTTGAGAGAAAATTCTCCATCAATTTTGGCGAATTTGATTTCAAGAATACGAATTTTTACAAAGGAGTAGAAAGTGAGAATTTTCTCTCAATATTTCTCACTCCCCGATTTCAAGAATAAGCACCCAGAAATCAAATCGCGACTCGTGAAATACTGCCTAAATAGTTAAAGCAAAATGACCTTAGACTTGTATGAGTACAGGTTCGACAATAATATGTTTTGAAGTATAAATTGATAATAAAATATGTTCTGCTGTTCATTTTAAATTCTTAGTATAAAAGGATATTTATTATTTCATTATATTTTCAAATATGCCTAATATGATGTTTACCAAGCTTTAAGTCACTTTTCAACGCATGCAGATGTGCATGTAGTAACTCATCAAGTGAAATTCATTCACATTACTCAATAAGATTTAGTTAAGTGACTGCTGGTGAGGGAGGGCGCTGGGACGCCCCTTCCCTGTGAAGTAGTAGAAGTCATCTGCAAATTAATATTTTCATATACTTAATCAGTAATTTTATTTAACTCCTAAATTTATAAACAATAAAAGAGTCAAACATAAATACATGCAATAATTAAGTTTATGAGCAAATAATTTAATTAGCTACGGACGAGCCGGACTTGTACAATACGAATAATACGGTTTTTCTCTATCATAACAAATGCGCGCTATAATTATTGTATCGGCGTAGTACTAGCAGCCCATAGCGAATCGCTGGACGATTGCCGTATAGTTACCGACGTCAACGTGTAGATCGCGGAGTATTGTGTGACAGGCTCCTGGTTCACCTACAGTGAATCAGCGAGTCTGTGTGGCGCTATGAATATAATTCCCGAATAGGGGTTGCTCAGGCGCCAGTTTTGATATCGCAGTTTGCTTTGCGACCCTGTGGTACACCAGAGTGTACTTAAGGTGAACTCAGTGGAAGTAAAAATAATTCCAGGCGGTCACTGCTAGGTTGCCACTATAGTAGAATAAATAAAAATAAAACACTTATCTCCTTTATACCTCGTACCCTACGGTACCCTGAAAGAGAACGGTTAAGAACCAGCAATAAGAGAAACACAGGAACAGGTAATAAAATATATATTAAAAAAAAATAAATAAATACAACTGTAATAATGTATGTACGGCTTCCTCCATTCAGAAAATCTATTCTTTAAAAATAAATTATTAAAACTGAAAAGTATTTAAATATTGACGGATTCCTACATCCGGAAAAATGAATGATTAAAGTTGAAAATTATTTAAATACTGACGAATCTCTATATTCGGAAAATTCAATAAATAAACCATTAAAGCTGAAAATCATTCAAATATTGACGGATCCCTATATTCGGGAAATTTAATAAAAACAAGTTATTAAAGTTGAAAATTATTTAAATATTGACAAATCCCTATATTCGGGAAATTTAATAAAAATAAATTAATATTATTGAAAATTATTTAAACATTTAAATATTTACGGTTTATTAGCTCAGGAGGCTAATCGGACTGGGAATCGTGAAATGCCCAGTATACGGAAAATGTATGAAAATAAATTAATACACTTGTAAAGAATTTAAATATGACGGTAATCCAATGCAAGCAAATAAATGAAATCAAAATTGTCGGGAGTCCCCTTGTATCTTAATAACCAATCGATGGAAACGCAAAATTCTCGCCTATTGATAAATAAGCTTTATTTAAACGGTGTTTTGAATCGGCGACCACGACGATCGTAGAAAATAATATTTATGAATTTTGCCCAGCGTCTATCGAGAGCGTGTGTGTGAATTTAATTTTACAGAAGTTGTCGGCTTTGTTCAATAATTAGTTGTGGACGGAGAACGGAATGATTCAAATACAATTGAATGAATAAATAAAAGAAAATAAATTTTACACGAAGCGAGGCGCGGAAATTAATTTAAACGTTGTTTTTTTCTTTCTGAGAAGTTAGATACGTCGTCAGAAGAGAGCACTCTAGGCTGAGGATAGATCCAACCTCCGAAGAAATTAAAACAATAAATAATAAAAAAAATGAAACCGGTCGAACCTCTCACTTCGATGTTAACTGGGGGTTTTTAGAGGAAATTGGATGTAGTCATTGACTGAGAGAGCACTCGGAGCCTAGTCTATATCCAACCTCAAATAAAAAATTGCCAACGGCTTCCCACTGAGGGATGTAATAATAAATCCTGGGTATGAATCAAAATTCTTGATTTGTAACACGGGTGTCCCAAACTAATTGTAAATAAAAAATAAGCGGTTTCCTACCTTTAGAAAAATAAACGGGGTTGATCGATGAACTAAATCACGGTACACGGTACTAGGTACTAAGTAAGGGTGAAATGTTTTCGGCTGTCGGCAATCACGAGAGAAACGCTTACGACGGCTGGCAAGCGAGGAGAGAGTTAATTCCTAGATGGGATTTAATTTATGCTTTTTCGGTAAAGCAAGATGGAAGATCAGTAGGCCCGAGTGGGAGGATACCACCACCACAGCTGACTGTTTACAATTCAGAAATACAAAAAATGTCCTTCTAGTCCTTGACAAATAAATGTAGATAATCGGTACCAAATCGACTCTAAAAATGCCCATTCGGATTTCGGCAAATATAAGAACATTTTAATCTACGAGGGTACTCGCAATTGTTGAAAAACGGTATTTCTTGGGAAACAGAAATACGGGGGAACTTCTACATGTTCTCAGGCGGGAATTAATTGAAATATACATTTTTAAGATGAATTAAAAATAAAATTTAGTGACTTCGTCACACTTTAGTGACTTCGTCACAATTGGATTCATGCGTTGGCGCCGTTGGCGGGCGCAGCACAGTTAGCCCTCAGTCCATCCGACGATCGCTTTGTGGTTTGTTTTGTTGATCTAGTGTGGTGTTGTTTATTTATCTTCGTAATAATTATTTATCATGAAAGTAACGGAATAAAAAAGCCGTATTCATCCGCGTAAGTGTAAATGATTTTTGGTATTGATTTTTTGATGCCCTTATACTCAGCCCTCCCTATTACACAAGTCACAAGCCACTACTGATTTAGTTACAACATGCTCGATCTCTGTCTTTCACTCAAACAACCCAAACACACTTGCAAAATTATTATCGGTGAGATGATTTCTTCCTTGATCTCCGTTGGCCTACAACTTTTTAAAATTTCAATAGTAACCAAATAAAACGCCTTTGACAGTTGGACGGACAGACAAACAAACCTTTAGGTGATTCCTTTTTATCAAGTGTCAAAGAAAATAACTACCGATCCAAACAAATCCAATTATTTTTGTTTTAGCAATGTTAAACAAGAAGTAAGACACCAAGTGAACAGGTTACGTAGTCATCCCAGTATTGCTTTGTTCGCTGGAAATAATGAAAATGAAATTGCTCTGCGACAAAATTGGTAAATATTATTATAATTATGATTATTTATTTATGAAAAATTATAAGTTTGTTCCAACAAGTAATCCATAACCGATACGAAATTAATCTCTAATCTACTTATTGCGCAAGCGCGACTCCTACACTATTTGTGGAACGCATTTGTCTGTCATTATGCACATTACTTTTGGAAAATGTATTTGTTACTTATACCCTCTTTACAATGTCTATTTACTCAAAAATATTCTACAATAACTTATTTACATAATAAATACTTCCTCCGTTTCTACTTAAATAAATCATATTTACTTGTGCATATGCACATTAGAAATAATCGTCTGAAGAAAAGTCCTTAATTATTTTATATAAAATTCATGTTAAATAATATTTTTTTATCTATGAAATAAACAGTTGACCAGAAATCCAAAACAAATGATATATTTTAAATAAAACAACTTTCAAACTGCTAATCCAAAAAAAGTTTACAAACCAGTCTGACGGTTTGATCCACATACTTTGATTTTCTTTACTATACGGCGCAAGAGAGAGGTCCGACACGCCCAACATAGGGCCCGGCCATTTTGAACCCTATGCAACAGTTTATAGCTAAAGAATCAGATCGCTCACTCTGCGTCGGCACTTTTGATCTCAATGTTCCAGTTTATACACTGCGCAACTCGGATAATACAATATATAACAACCGCCTATAATAAAACAGCTGTCTTCTGCGTATCCTAAATTTGTATCCCTGGAGCGGATCTTATTTTGAAACTTTCAACTGGTCCAAGTGAGCTAACTGATTCTTTAGCAATAATCTGTAACTCAAAAAATAATATTCACTGACACTGACAACCGCAAGCAAAATATCAGGTGCGTTTTAATCATCCGCTTCTGCTTCCGGAATTGTCGGTTTAGTCGTTTTAACTTGTCAAATTAAAACAAGAAAACCGACAATTCCGAAGTAGAAGCGGATGATTAAAATGCACCTATTAAAAATATTGCGCCAAGATGTAGGCAACACGTAATAAGGGTTCAAAATGGCGGAGTTTTCTATCTCCTTTTAAAAGGCACTCAGAAAGCTGCGCAGTGCGACCATTCTCCGTATAGTAAAAGAAAATCAAAGTATGTGGTTTGATCCCAATCCGAAATTCTTTAAAACATTTACAGGTATTTGGTTTGTCAGCAATGACAGAGCGGCCCGGGTCGTGGAACACTGAACGTAATATCATCTGTCACTCACTCTCGCCTTCTTCTTTTTGATAAAACTCAATGCTAGATAATTCTTATTTACCTATGTATTTTCATGTATTAGTTCATTAAATAGTTACTTACAAGTTGTGAACTTCTTTTCTCGCTACCGGATAATATCAAGTTTGATAATTTCTTTGTAGAAGTAGGAGAATCCTTTGAAAATGTGAATAATATAAATCAAAATTTGTTCTTACAAATGTAATTAAAGCAAAAATCCTCACAATAAATAATTTATTCATTTAATCAAATTCCTTACCATAACTTTTCTTGTCTTCAATCTCTCAGCCCCTCTAAAGTGCCATCGCAAAAAAATATAATTTACCTTTCACAAATTCAAAATAATTACTCTCTAAATACCGTACAAACGAAAAAATGCAAAAATCTTTGCGATTAAATACCAAATTGTAACTTTTTATATCGTAAATAGCTGCGCCACTGTTTTTTACAACCAAGTATTAAATAAAAACTTGAGCACTGATAATACTCGTTGCTCTGTGAAGTGGGTGGGAATGGCGTCACCCAAACATATATCATCAAGGTGGTAGAAGCCCACCAACTAGCCCTTTTCAAAATTGGAGTATTCGGAGATACCTCTCGGTGGCGTTATTAACTTGCAGGACTTTGGTGTGAGAGGCTGGCTATCATCCCTAGACATCTAAACAACCAGTAGGTATTAGACGAGTTAAACATGTAGAACTTTGATGAGCTGGGAAGATTGCTGCCTCTAAGCAACAACCAGCAGGATTTTTATACGTTAAGAGGAATGTTCTGTATGTGCCCGGAAGCTGCACAATGAGCCTAATGAGACGTAAGCACTATGGAACAAACCTCCTTCTCCACCTTACAGATAGAGACAGAATAATGCCCAAGCGTTGAGCAAATGACTGACTTGTTTCTAAGCTGCGGAAATTCATTTCACGGTTTGTTCTAGTGTATATTAAAAATGGGGTTTGATATTTATTTTATTTAATTTCTCTTTGTATTCAACATTTCTACAGAATAAACTTAAAAAGAACCCTATAAATTCCCTTAAAAATACATCTATTTAATTCATTCAACTCCTCAAATGTGGCCATCTTTGAAAGAGATAACGAAACTTAAAATCCTTACTACAAAATAGTATTTTTTGACAAAAATTAGTACGCCTTCATTAGGTTTGAAAGATGTTTACAATAACAGTTAGTTATAAAGGGAATTTTGTTAGTACTGACATAAAAAATAAAAATTTGTATGTAGTGTCAATTTAAAATATTATTATTTAAAAGTAATTATTTTTCAACAGGTATGGTACAGAACCTAATTACACAGTGTACTACAAAGATTATGTAGAACTGTACGTAAAGACTATTCAAGCAGAATTTAAACGTATAACACGCAATAGAATATTTTTGTTTTCAAGTCCATCTAATGGAGATGTAACAGTCAAAGAGAAATATGTGGCGAAAAATCCTGGTGACTACAAATACGGAGATGGTAAGTGCTTTCTATAAAAAAACCCTGTATTAGAATTTTGTCATTAAGTATGATACATGAATTTTTTTAACACAACAAAAGATGTCTCAGTTAACAGAATTTGATAGTTGATGATTTCTTATGTGAATTAAAGAGAGAAATCTTATATACGCAAACATTTTTAGACGACTCAGCATCGTTGTAAACGGTAAATTTGTGGCAGGCACTAAATATCGTTGAAAGATGGTATCTAAAAGAGAGATTGTCCACGAAACCAGTGAGAACCTCTTTTGTTGCATTTACAATAAAGAGAGCTTTATGTGAGAGAATAACATCTAAAAAAGGAAGTTAATTTTCTTGGAATCACGCTTGATAAATGATAAACTCAGCTTCTGCAGCCATGTAGGAAAAAGGGAAAAGCTGTTATCAATCATATGGTGACATAAGGTTAGGAGAACATTACACACTGAGCAAAGGCTGGCCAGTTTAATAATAACAGGTACCTTGAGAAGTACGTCTCATTACAGCAAAGTAACTAACCAGATCATTACACATTGTGCTAGAAAAAAGAGGCAACTGGATTTGAATGGGAACTTTCAAGAAAACAACATCATACAATATTAGAAAAATCGAAACAAAATGCGGATAGAATACCTTTCGAAAATTCAAATACCAGAAAGGACCGAAAGGCAAATACAAGAATCAATCCAGTATTTAGACTGTTTGAAGATGAAAAACAGCAGATGAACTGAGATTTATCATGCAAACTCAGGGAGGACCATTAGTTTGATCCTGGCGCCACTGGTAACACTTTTTCAAGCTGAAGTAACATAAATAAATACCTGTGCCCATATCATGCTAATAACTTTCTTAGAGATAAAGCGAAAGTATAACTAAGTTTTGTATTGTTTCAGTTCATTTTTACAACTACGATTCTGATCCTTGGGATTCTACACTTTATCCAGTTCCAAGATTCACTTCTGAATACGGTTATCAATCATTGCCAAGTCTCAACTCTTTATGGCAAGCAACCTCTAATCCTGAAGCTCTGACCATAAAAAGTGATTTTATCGACCATAGGCAACATCATCCCGACGGAAATGATCAATTGAAAAGTTTGATAGAATTCAATTTAAAATTACCCGATGAATCGCACAAAAATTATTTGAAAGCTTTTATTTATTATTCACAAGTAAGAATGCTGATTACATTGATGGGTACTATGAATAAAGATTAAACTATTTTGGCTTTTAGTTAAAAATTTGGGTATAAATAGTTTTATTTTTCAATGAAAATAATTTTAAGGTATAATTGAGAAATAACAATTATTTGATAAATGTTCTGAAGAAATTGAAAGGGACAGAAATTTTATTTATTGAAAAATAGATACTAGGTATTTATTTTCTAGTAAAAGTAATTGCTTAATTTTGTCTTGATAGTAGCTATCGCCTAGTTTAGTCTTAAATACAGGGGGTCACTGATTAGTGTAGGGTGCAGGTATTTTGCGAAATTTGTGTTTTTATTGTTTATTTTCTTGAAAAAGTCTGAATGAAAGGGTCTTATGCCCTTATGCCCTATAAAATAAAGCAACAACCCAACAACAATGTTTATCAACGTTTTTGAAACAAAAACAAAACAGAATGTTGTTTTCACCAACTTTTTATTTTCCCGTCGTCTGTCGGTAAAGATTAAAGATCTTTTGTCTGCGTTTATGTTAGTTTGTCTATTGTGTGTCGTTAATCAAGAAAGAAAACGAAACTACATTTGTGGTTACCCATTAGCACAGTAGAAAGGTTACTGAAAAAGTGAAACAAAAATATTAATTTTACTTATTAAACAGCAATTAATATTATGAAATCTAACCTTGACAAAAATATGCATTTAAAACACTTATGATAACTGTGACAGGGCTTTTTGTTTCATTTAATGGGAAATGGAAAGGCATAATTAGTGCCAGGGTATTCTCTAGGACAAAGGTTGCCCGGGCGCCAGTTTTGATAACGCAGTAAACTGCGACCCTAGAATGCACCTGAAGCATACCCAAAGGAAACTTAGTGGAGTTAAAATGATTCCAGACGATCACCGCTAATGGGGTAGTCAGTAGCAATACAGTATCTTGTACCCTATGGTACCCTGAAATAAAACGCATAAGATCCGGTAATAACAGATAAGAAACACATTAATTATTAACAAAATTATATTTTAAAATAAAATACTAAAAACGGTGCCACCGACACTCCCTGTACAATAGGGAAATTTTCAATCAGTTAAACAATATAAAAAATCGAAAGATCAGTGGTAAAATAAACCGTAGTACCGGTACTCCCTAAATAATAGGAAAATTATGTTTTAATTAACTAATTATTTAAATACAATAGGTATACACTATAACTAAAACAACCCGACAATAATTAATAAACAGTGCTAACGAGATCCCCTGTATAATAGAAAATGAATAAAGTAACCATTATGTTAAAAATGTTATAATCTTTCAATTGTTACGTTTTAATGTAGTTGAAAATAGTTTGTATTTAAAAATTTATTGAGACAATTAGGCGTTGCCAGACTTATTTTATTTATTTAAGACCTTTCAGACTACATAAAATCATAAGTGTTACATATGGTTGAACTCGTATTGAATAGTAGATTCCAATAATGACTGAATATACAGGGTGATGAATTTGAAAAACCAAAGTGACTAATAATTTAAGAGAAACGGCAGATTTGACAACATTGCAAACATCAAATCTGGACTTATCGTATCTCAAAATAGGTGTACCCCAAATTTTGTACAATTAGGACTGGCAATTTACGAGATAATTGGCCGTTTCCAGACTTTTGGGCCACTCTGTACATTAAACTACAGGGGCAAATGTTTAAAACGAAGAACTGTAGGGAAATAACAATTATGGGGGTTCTCGCAAATGTTCCCAATTCATAAATTAAATCAAAAAAAAAAAAAAAATTGGGCATCGCAGATATTTGTTATTATCTATACCAGTTTGGATACTTTGCCAAAAAACGTAATTACTAAATGTTCTTATACACTGTTTGAATTTTAAAAATTTGTATTTTTCTTCTTTATCGAGGGTCCAGTAAATTGTATAAAATTTTCGAGATTTTAAAAAGTGTTTGAAGCTGTATGGCATTTTTATATTAATACTAATATCATCTTTTCGTAAATTGAGTCCAAAAATAACTTATTGATTATTAAACATTTTTCTTGTTGTAGGGTAACAATAGAAAACCGATTGTCAAAACAAATAAATCATGGTTCCCTACATTTTGAATATGCCAGGATTTCATGCAGATTTACTTCACAAACTTGACTAGTTGTTTTTTTAGCTAATTTTTAATGTGGTTAGCAGTTTGCAAATTTTTTTCTGTTTTCGAAAACTTGCTGTTTTGTTGTGTTGTCGGTGTTTAATTCGTTGGTTTGGTGTGTACCCGGCTTTATGAGCTATTATTTAATGAACAAATTTAATTTCTTTAAAACTATTGAGCGGTTAGGCAACTACTATTTATTTTTTGTATTTTAATTACCTTTAGTCATAGAAAAAAGTATTTTTGTAATTACATTTTAGATTGTACAAGCAGTAGGTATCAAAATGCAAACGGAACATTACCGGCGTTATCGAAGTATTCTGAATAAAGACAGATTGGGTAACACTATGGGTGCATTATATTGGCAACTAAACGATGTATGGCTAGCTCCTACGTGGTCTGGTACTGGTAAGTACTTCATTAAAAATTTAAAAAATTAAAACACATTTTTTATATAATATGAATGCTATACCGTCCTGCTTTGAGTCATATTCTTCCTTCTTTCCTCAGTGTCAGTGTCGAAATACAAACTAAGTTGACGACTTTGAAATTGGGGTTCTTCTTACAACTCGCTATGTATAAAAACGTTTAATTAATGAAAACCCTACATCACATTGTTATTGTTGTTTTTATCTATGGGACGGACACATCCGCTTATGCCCAGCGTAGAAACGTTTACTTTTGTGATGAAACAATGTAAAAACGCGCCAGTAATATTATAGCACTACCTTGTTTCGTTTTTTCAACGTTAGTGGAAGTGCCAAAAATTTTGAATTTACAACAAACCAGATATGACATTGTTGTTATATTCAAGAAACTTCTTCTTTTTTACTTTCCTATCTGTATACAGATATAAGGAAAGTATAGGAATCATGATTTTTTTCGACCTCGAGTTTTCGACGGATTTTTACGTTTTGAGGTCCCCTGAATCCGTTTTGACTATTTTCGCGATGGTGTGTGTGTGTGTGTGTGTGCGTGCGTGCGTGCGTGCGTGCGTGCGTGCGTGCGTGCGTGCGTGCGTGCGTGCGTGCGTGCGTGCGTGCGTGCGTGCGTGCGTGTGTGTGTGTGTGTGTGTGTGTGTGTGTGTGTGTGTGTGTGTGTGTGTGTGTGTGTGTGTGTGTGTGTGTGTGTGTGTGTGTGTGTGTGTGTGTGTGTGTGTGTGTGTCGGGAAATTACTATGCGGCCATGCGCATAATTCATAGTAGTGTAGCGTAGTAGTGTGGCCATCCTGAATTGTGTGGCCATTTTTGGGACCCCTCAAGTTAAAAGCAGTTTTAACGCATTCTACACGTTATGCGAATGGTACCTACTTTAATACATTGACCCCAAAAGTGATGTTATAGGTTGTGCCAAAATGTGTGTTAATTGATGAGATGAGAGCAAACATTGTGTGGACAAAGTATTTGATCAGCAAGTGCTGCCCTCTTTAACCTCTTCATTCAGCGAACTATTTTACACGGATTATAACTTACCTTATGGGACAAGTGCAAATATTTAAAAGTTTTGAATACGTTATATTATTATATGATACAGCGCGGTGTTGCCGCTTCTGTAGTTGCTTGTAACTATTGAATATTGAATAAGTGTCTTGCATATTTGAATAATGTACGCCTTGGCCCAGATACTTTTATTTATTATACAGGGACTAGAGAGTCGAAAAGACGCTTCTAAAACATCGGACTGTGCACTTGAAGATATACTTTTAAAAAAATATGTACTATGTGGGTAATGACCCTGCGGATGCAAATTCAGAGGGCTCCGTTAAATTAGCAATTGCAAAACAGAATAAAAATATATTTTTCGATTATTTTGATTTATCGCAAAAACAATTTTTGCTGTTTAACTCGCGATTGTGACGTCGTTTTTCAATATGACTTAGACCTAAATATCGGTAAAAAAATAACCTTTAGCGTTTAAATTAATATTTATTTAGCCTAATAATTTATATCGTCACTATACATTTGTATATACTAAAAACAACTACAAGAATATCGGTAAAGGTTTTTACCCAGAACTTCCCTCGATATAGAAATTGTTAAAACAAGGAGCTGATTAGCTGCTTTTAAAATGGTCTAGTTACATAAACGAAATGGATGTTTTTTTTATTATTTCCATTCAAGGGATACCTTTTCCGAATAAATACGATTCTTTCAACGCCATTTTAAATTTTTAAAAACTTATTTAGGATCTCTTATCTTTGACTCTTAAAATACTCAGCAAACCAATTTTAGTCAAAATCTGTCGACTTTTCTCCCCCTGTATATAACTGACAGAAAGTATAACCGGTTTTGAGAGAAAAAGGAACCATACCGGCATACAAAATTTGAAGTTTTTCTATAAAGCCGTTTTTGAGCTATCGCGCCAACAGACAGACGACAGACAGACCGACCAACGGAATGGGGAAACATGTTTCTCGTAATCTAAGGACCCTGAAACGTGAAAATCTGAAATAATCTCGGAGGGTGCCTTTTTCACGATTACAATACTTCCCTTATATCAAGGGAAGTACTAATGATAACACAAAAATAAATGTACTTCGAAGTAGTTAAGTTATAAACTATGTAAGGATAAAAAAATATATAAATCCTATATGGGTAACTAAACTAACTTAATTTTAGTTTAAAGAACACCCACCCTCGCAATAACAACCTATTATAAAATCCAGCTCTGTTTTTAATTCGCGATTCAAATTAATTTTCGCGCGCCTGTCATTTGTCACGTATAAGTAGGATGTTTGTTTATTTACGTGTTGTGGGATTTTGTATTTGTGATTTTTTAACTGTTTTTAGATAATATTCTTATTATAATAGTATTTTTGAGTTTCATTTAGTGTTAATTTAAGTTTAGTTTTCGTGCTTTCGTTATAAATGTAATATTTTTCATGTGTAGTAATGAACTAATTTGTTGGAAATATTGACCTATTGGTTGCTACAAGAACATCTAGAAATATGTATTTACTAAACCCAGGACATGTTTTATTATGTGGTTTAAACTTTAAAGGACATATCAGGTATCAAACGTTTATTATTGATGAACTTCTTTAAAAATCTTACTATCCTTATTCTTATATCATGAAGTGAATTGTGTAGTACTTTGTATACATGTAAATGGTAATAAAACCGTCACAACTCATATTGGAGTTTGATTCTAAACAACGTTTTGCAAAATTTCAATATTGTGAATTTGTAGATACCCATTTATCGTAAGAAACAGAATTTTATGACTTGCACTTGAAAAATAATGAATACTCCAGTTTTGATTTTGACAATAACACCATACAGATTGCAATTTGCTGGAGGCTTTTTCGCAGATTTCATTTTTAATTTAAATACTATCACATACTATAAGAAATAAACAAATTTAAAGCTAAAAAGTAACAAAAAACTCTAATTGTAATTGATACAAATAAAAATGTAAACAATGAACACGAACGCCAATGTTGCCAAATGATGAACTGATTTTGTCTCTGACTGATTTTAAAACTAAAATTAATAAATGAACTGATATTTAAAAAAAAAATCAATATAATAAATCGATTTTATAAAAAAATCCTTAAATAAATAGTATGATTACATATTACTAGACACAAATTTTGATTCTTAAATAAAAGGTCTTATCCATTTCTTCAAGAACTAAAATCCGACGACGTAACGAAATTTTGCTGCTTCTGGCAACACTGAACGTCATCCTACTTATAGGGACCTTTTACTAATTTCCTCCAGAGGGCGTATCACTTAGCTTGAATCGCGAATACAATTTCTAGTACATTTTTGAAGTTTGCATTTGTAGCACACATTTTCGAATTCTACATCGGGACGAACACTTATTGTGGTCAATTTTGGAACGAGTAAATTATTTTCTTTTAAATCTCAAAGAAAATCAACGGAGATGGGAATTTCTGGGTTTATTAAAATATTGCTCTTCAAGACAATTAATTGATACGCAGCTCTTAATATATGCTAATGAAATGCATCCTCAGTAGGCGGTAAATTCCTTATATTAGATTTACAGGTATGAAATAGACGAGCGCGTAATTTATTTAAATCACCTGTAAATAATGGCCTAACATACAAAATTTTGAAAAATATCTAGCCAAAATTAATTAAATTCTGGCCAGCATTTTCAGGGTAACTTGTAAGTGCTTTTAATTCACACACTGACCTTCGACGAACGATGCGCGACAGAAAAAGGTTGCGGCCAACGCGCATAAGCGTTTCACAAAAAAATTGCTTCTCAGAAAACATTACCAATAGAGAATTTTTGTTTTTACCAAAAACCACGCAATAAGAGATTTAAAAGAACACCAATTAGGTAGGTCGAATAAAAAAGATACCCGCTTTGGTGTGTTTTCGAAGACCCCACAATGTGGGTAATGGGTATTGTTCATAGTTTCTTGTTCCCGACCGACCGCGATCCTGTTTACAAGGGAAAACTGATAGTAGGCTATAATAAAATAAAGGTGATGCGGTATGCCAACTGCAAGTTATAAAAATCAGAAATAGACAATAATTAACTAAATATAATAAAATTGAAACGTGTTAGCTTTCGACTAATTCTGTATTTTAAAAATATTACATGTTTCATTCATTTTCAGGTAAACTGGAATTGATTTATTCTTTTAAATAATACATCACCCCTAGCTGTTGCATTATTTAAATAATCTAGTTATTTTTGGGTACTGCACCTATATCGTTTTATTATTGAAAATAAAAAAAATTCTACGACTGTAACATTTAGTTATAGGGAATGCTTAACAAAAGTAAAAGTATTTTGTAAGAAGTTTATGAAAATGATATTAGATACCATTCTACTTGTAAGAACACTGCATGATAATGAAATCTGTCAAACTAATTGTCGTACATTATACAACTAGACAACTGAAAATTCTCGATTATACGAGACGTATTGCCTGACGTTTTGTTAGGCAGTACGTTTGTTAGGCAGTACGTCGAGTTTTGAGAATTTTCAATTGTTGAGTTGTATACAGATTGACTGTATCACGAAATAATAAAAAAAAGTTATGGGGTAGAATCGAACCTTGGCCCACCGTGTTGAAAACAGAAGTTCTACCGATCGATCACAGATCCTATATAACAAAAAGTTTCGTGCTTAAATTTCGTTCTCGTGCGATAATGGCCATCATATCCACTCTTGTTGCAGAAACTACTGTTGAAGCATGTTTTAAAATAAAAAAAAATTGTCTAAATCTGCTACCAGGTCTAATTAACGACGCCGTGAGTACGCTACCCCTAACTGGGAATTTTGACGAACTCTCTAATGTCGCAACCTTCAGAAATAGGTAACTTCAACAAACCCAACATCCATATACTCAGGACCACCGGCTTTATGCCCCTTCCAAAGCACAGCATATCCTTATTATTCCTCGTACTTAATGATATAGTACCTACGAGCTGCGGCTATTACGCAACTACGCTACTACGCTGTAATTATACGAGCTACGGTTTTCCCCATATAATATGAACGACCTGATCATGCATCCAACTACTAACCTTGCTGAACCCTACTTGACTACGGATTTCGATAGACAATTAGTTGTCAACCTGATTAAGCTGGACCCTTGCCTTGAAGTTAAATATACATCTCAAATTCAGTTATGTTTGAAATTTTTGACATTAAAATGATTTATATACCTATTTTTTGTGTAGTTAATTAAACCCAGTTCTATCCAACATATTATCCTTTGTTGGAAAAACTTTAACTTTCTAATTTGGTTATAAAAATAAATAAAAAACGTAAACTGACATATCATATCTAATAAAATGTTCAGAAATGTATACGTTCATAGCACATTTTAAAATAAAAAAGGCATCGCTTTAACGTTTCAAGAGTAGATAGAGTATTATTTCAAAACTGTTAAACCATATCAAGTCTAATAATTTATAAACACTTAAGTATTGTTCTTCTCAGTGAAGGTAGTTGCGAGATTTGCCTTATTCTTAACGAGTCTTCAAATGATGTGACAACAATGTGTGTGTATGACCCCATTATGTTGGTAATAGCTTAATTTCCGATAAAAATCACGACCTTGAGAAAAAAGTGTGTAAGGGAGTGTGTATGGCCACATTAGACATTATACCGTAATATATAACTATATCTATCTTTTAGAGGACTGACCCCCTAAGTCTGTTTGCATTAAAAGTGGCAAAAGAAGGAGTGTATCTAAATAATTTAAATAGCTATAAATAGATCAGAAGATTCTACATACAATACATGCAGAAATTTCATTGTCCCCATAATTCACGTCAGTGTCATGTGGCCGCACAATGATTTCCCGGTGTGTGTGTGTGTATGTGTGTATGTGTGTATGTGTGTATGTGTGTATGTGTGTGTGTGTATGTGTGTGTGTGTGTGCGCGCGCGCGTGCGCGCGCGCGTGCGCGTGCGCGTGTGCGTGTGCGTGCGCGTGCGCGTGTGTGCGTGTGCGTGTGTGTGTGTGTGTGTGTGTGTGTGTGTGTCTGTAGGTCGCATAACTCATGAACCGATACACAGAAAAACACCAAATTTTAAACTTAAGCTTTATTCCAGCGTCTAATGAACTGATTAGATTTTGGGCAGAGTCGGAACATCTAGGGGGGTACTTTATGGGAGGCCGTTTTTATATTTTATGGAATATATCTGTTATTTATGTTTGGAGAAGAAAATTATTCAAATAAAAGTTACTGCTAATATTATTATCTATAATTTTTGTTTTATGTCAAAATTTCCTGAAATGGTCCGTATTGGAGAAATTTGACAAAATGTGCAAAATTCTGATTTTTATGAAAATTGTTGAACTTAAAGTTGTTTGCGATATCGATCTTTATAATTTTTGTTTATACATGATTTTTCTAAAATGGACCGTAATGGAAAAGTGTTAAATTTAAATTTTTCAGTATTTTCGTTTTCAATGAATATCTATAGAAAAATGTTTCGAGGTAGATGTGGACAATGTGTATATTTAGTTTATCCTCTAAACATTTATAGAGATGCTGCAATAGGTTGTACAAAATAACTGGAAAAAGCCTATAATAACTAGATAGGAAAGTCATGTGTTGGACACATCAGATTTTTGTAGATGTTATTATAAGGCTCATAATTAAATAAAATTGTATTAATGAACCAAATGTGACGTTTCAAATACGAGTATTTCATTTAAGCAGAGATTGGCCTCAGAATTATACTCATGTATTTTTCTGATACATGAAAAGGGATCACGAGTATCATTTATTCTGATTGGAATGTTTTGCTTCCGTTTATTTGTACTTATTTTCAATCAATTTGAGGCGCTATCTTTTCATCCAGATGTAGAGCTGGTTTATACATGTTCGAATTTTTCTGGCCGCTGCTTCGTATCTTTTCCAGCAGCTAAAATTGCATTGTCATATGTATATTTAGTTATTTTATCGTATTCATGGTTAGGTGTGTCATTGGTTTACAGTAGTGTGGGATCTTTTAATTTTGTGATCCCATTTTATAAATTGAACAATAATTTGTAAAAGGGTGTATATGAATATATATAATAAAATATGTGTGGCACTCGGAGACTGCCGCGGTAAAGCTATTGCATAGCATTTTTTATCAACTTATGCAATTATAATTATTAATTTATTTTATTTATGCAGTATTTTTTTTCTTTGATATTAATTCAAGTTTTTTCTTTGATATTAATTCAAGATACACTTTTTGAGCCTGGTAACCGATAAGAAAATAATTTTTTTTCTTTTATTGAATAAATGAGAAGTTAATATTTTTATTATCTTACAATACATGTAAATTTTTATCATTGAAACTATAGGTTTATGGTAACTGAAATAATAAACATAAGTTTGAGACTTGGTATCCTCTAAATATCTGGAAAATACCGCGTCAATGGTGGTCCCATATTTTTTTGTGAATTCTTGTGGATCATTATTCATTTTTAAATTCAATTTTTCCGAAATTGTGTCTAAAAGAGATAGAATCAGTTATGAGCAGTTAGCAGCTAGTCTATACGCATATACGTCTAGTCGCACGCACACAAACACCGTGCCGAAGTTTGCCGAACTGAAACAACGTTAGACGATGCACGGCTTTCAACGCCGCATCGCTGTGTCGGTCGGAGTGGGAGTGTTCGGTTTTTTTTCGTTACGGAATTTCTTGATTCGGTCGCTGCGCTCAAAGCCCGTGATAAAAGCTATGCAATAGCTTAAAACATCAAAATTTATATTAATATGCATTTTCAGACACATGTTTATATAAATATTTTTTAATATTTGTATGAGGCATACTTTTTTTCATGACACCCTGTAATAGGTAATAAGAGAGTGTATGTAAATAAGTAATTATTATTATTATAATAGTGTTTGATTCCAAAGTAGTCTTCGCGTTTAGCATGAGCATTCAATTTCCTTAAAAATTGTTATTATTCTTGAATATATACAGTGAGCACCATAAGTCTTACCCCCCCTATCTAACTCGTTACTGGAGTCTTGTTAGGAAAATCGTCGAGACACATCGATTTTTGATTTCTACAATGTACATTTTTATATAAAAATTTAACTGGCATGGGGTGGTGAGTGATAGCTCATTTGAAAGAGGGTTTTATTCTCTATTCAACCGTGTAAAAAAATTTGAAATTTGCTTCATTATTTCTCGACTAATTGTAAATTAACGTAGCACACTAATCCTTAGAATTAAAATTCGGACCTGCATGATTTCGGTTTTTGGTTCAGACGTGAAGTAAGACTTTTTGCCATTAGAAGGTCACTGTTAGTCTAGTTGCTTTCCTATTTTGTGAGGTTTTGTTATTTTTAAACATTAATAAATCAACACGTAATGAAGCAAATTTTAAAATTTTTTACACGGTTGAATAGAGAATAAAACCCCCTTTCAAATGAGCTATCACTCACCACCCCATGCCATTTAAATTTTTCGAAAGGGTTGCTACCCTCCAGTAAGGGATGAAATTAAGGGTAAACTAATCATGCAAAAATGTACATTATAGAAATCAAAAATGGACCTGTCTCGGCGATTTTCCTAACAAGACCCCAATAACGACTTAGTTAGGGGGGGGGTAAGACTTATGATGCTCACTGTATAATAGAAGTGAACGTTGTATCAAGGCACTCTAAGCTCCTAACAAGGCACCCTCTTAGCTCCTACCTCCTGTAGGTCTGTATGCTGTTTTTAAAGTAGTATCGCAGATTTATTAAAACTAATTCACATGGTTTGCTGTATGATTCGAACCATTAGACCGCATTTACCACTGAATGTCAGTAACTGAATACTTTATGCTGACAATTTAACAAAAAACTGACCTGTTATTTCATCTGTTTAGATTTCGCTGGCAATTGGAAGATGCTACAATATTTCGTTAGAGATTTTTTCGCACCGGACATTATAACAGGATTTATCAACGATAAACGTGTTCTTGAAATTTATGTTGTATCTGATAGTTTGGTAGATGTTTCCAATGTAACGGCTTCAATAACAATATATAACTGGAACTGTTTGAACCCCATGCACACTAAAAACCTGTTGGTTGATATGGTAAGTACAATACAACTTTAAATTATTAATATTGCACAATATATTATATATTATGATGAAAATTTTCTGAAACTGGATGCAGAGCTCGCCTAAAAAAGACAAAAGTAAGATAATAAGTTTTATTACAGAATAACGTGTAAGAATTTTCTCGAGAAAAAATGTTGAATACTAATATTACTCAAAAACTGATAGACTGAAAGCTGGTGGTATAAAATCGAAGCAGGGATTATCTTATAGGCTGAATTGGAAAAATTGATATACAAACACCAAACCAATATTGGTGTGTTGTCGTTTTAAGCAAAAAATATGGTGTAAATAAGCGTTATATTTATTTATAACCATTTTAACTTTTTTGATACCAGTAAGGAATGTATAAAAATTTTTATTTTTGTTACCCTAAATTTTTTACGGAGAGCTTTATAAAATCTGTCTGTATCCTCGATAACTCAAAAATAGATAAGAGAAACACACCAAATTTTAGTGCTTTGAGGGTGTACTTTACGAGGCAATGGTTTACTTTGAGAGAAGTGTACATTGAGGGTGATTATAGTTTGAGGAGAGGGAGGGGGTGTTTTTCAACTATATTTCTATTATTTATGATAAGAGAAGAAATTTTATCGAATAAAGTTCTTTGCGATATCGTTCCCTATACTTTTTGTTATATACAACTTCTCCTACCTACCTACCTAGTGAAGAAATTTGTGAAAAGGAGGAAATTTTGAGTTTTTTTTTTTTTTCGTTGCCAATGATTATTATGAAGAAGTGATTTGAATAAAATGGGTGTGGAGAATTCTTATCTTTAATTTATTTTTTAAACTCAATATATGATAATTTTACAGGAAAGGCACGTGTTGGACACATCAGATATTTCTTAGTTTTAAATCAAATAAACCACTCCTAAGGTATATCATTTCTGATAAATTACGCGATGCTCCTTTACCATATCAATTAATATGTCATCCTCTTCAGAAGAAAATTTCTGAGACATTCTTTAATTATAACACAAACTATCCTAACCTCATTTCACTTGACAGTCTATTGTTTGCTTTGTTAAACAAATGCATCAAATTCTAATTGATTTCAAAGTAATCAGTCTACAGCTATGGTTTGTTAGGACAGTGTGCGTCGCACGACGTACGCGTACGGCAGAATCTAAAAGTGGTTTGTTAGAATATAAATCAGTTCAGCTTTTTCTCTTGACACATGTAGTTGAAAATGACTTCTTCTGAATTAAATAACGTGTTAGTAGAGATTATTTTAATGGAAGAAGAAGACAAAGAAGAATTGTTAATTTTTAAATAGTAATGATAAAAATACAGCAATATTTTTAACTATATCATCTTTACAACTTCTTGCTTTTCACTTGATAGAGTGTGGGCTTCTCCTTTTCCATATCAATTAATATTCCATTCCCTTTAGAAGTAACTTCGACGACAGTTTATCCCTTTAATTATAACACAAAGCAGAAGAAGAAGAAGAAGAAGAAGAAGAAGAAGAAGAAGAAGAAGAAGAAGAAGAAGAAGAAGAAGAAGAAGAAGAAGAAGAAGAAGAAGAAGAAGAAGAAGAAGAAGAAGAAGAAGAAGAAGAAGAAGAAGAAGAAGAAGAAGAAGAAGAAGAAGAACAAGAAGAAGAAGAAGAAGAAGAAGAAGAAGAAGAAGAAGAAGAAGAAGAAGAAGAAGAAGAAGAAGAAGAAGAAGAAGAAGAAGAAGAAGAAGAAGAAGAAGAAGAAGAAGAAGAAGAAGAAGAAGAAGAAGAAGAAGAAGAAGAAGAAGAAGAAGAAGAAGAAGAAGAAGAAGAAGAAGAAGAAGAAGAAGAAGAAGAAGAAGAAGAAGAAGAAGAAGAAGAAGAAGAAGAAGAAGAAGAAGAAGAAGAAGAAGAAGAAGAGGAAGAAGAAGAAGAAGAAGAAGAAAAAGAAGAAGAAGAAGAAAAAGAAGAAGAAGAAGAAAAAGAAGAAGAAGAAGAAATAAAGGCTTCATCTACCTCTAAAGTTAATTGTGGTTCCATCAGATGTTCTCAGTTTTTGGGATCTTGAAGGGGTAATTTTAGTTGACTCTGCTAAAGATAATTACGCAGAATTTATTTCTGAATTGCGTGATACGTGATAAGTTACTCAAAGGTGTGTTTTCCATGAATGTAATGCTACTTGGCTGTTATGTATCAAGCGAGATTCCAGTTGATAAAACATATATCCTATTCGCTAGATTTGGCCTTTAGCGACTGCAGACTATTCCAGATATTGAAAGAATATTGCGTGAAAGAAATTACAAGTTAGAATTATGTTATATCAGCTTTAAGTGAATGTTTTGATGAGGTTGGAGAAAATGTCTTTCATGACGCTCTTGAAATGTTACTGTATTTCTGGAACAAGTGCGTAAGGGAGAATATGTTGAAAAAAAGTAATGTTGAAATATTCGTTTTATTATAAATAGGTCAGTAACAAACTGTATATTTATTGATTTTATTTTATATGGGATTCCATCTCAAATTCGTATTTTTTTTTTTCAGAAATCAGGAAAATCCAATCTAATCAAATCATTGTCTACTGATAAATATCTGTCCAAACAAAGGTGCGGTACAATAGAAGATGCCAAGAATAACTGTTTCTTTTATTTGTCATTAAGTCACAACGGCAACCTTCTCGTTCCAAAGAATTACGTTTTTCCAGCTCCTCTTAAGAACAGCAGTTTAGTGCAACCAAAAGTTAAGGTAAAATATACATATATACCATATTTTTTTCTAAAATAATTAAAACGAAAATATAAATCCAGTGTATGTGCTAAGTTGAACATTATTGATTCCATTACTAACAATTTAGAATTAGATGTCTAGAGATACTTACAATGTTATAGAAAGGTATGTCATAAAATTATAGCAGGTATTCTGAAGTTAAATGTAGGTCGATTAAATTTGACTTATAAAAAAAGTTATAACCTAATTATAATTTTTAATTAAAAATCGATATTTTCCAATAACTCAGAAGTTGTTAAACTTAGTGATATTTTCTAAAGTAAAAACAATTTTGTAAGAAAACTGCACACCATTAAAATTGTATGAGGGTTGACATCCCCTAACTTCTATCTATCTATCTATTTATCTAAATTAGGGCGTGGTTCAAAGCCCACTTGTACTGAAGCTCTAGGTTTATTGTACTCCTCACAGTTTCTATCCCATCAGATTGATTTTCTTGATGAATTCAAAAATATGTCTGATGGGCGCTTTCGCGATTTCTTCAGGTTCCGGATATTATACCCCGAAGTACCATTCCCGTTCCCATTTAAGGTTCCGGCAGTGGCATAGTTTGTGAATAGATGTTTCGTCCTCCTCTTCACATATTCGACATAGGGAGTCATCAGATATCCCCAAGAAATTTAGGTGTCTTCTAAGGCCGCAGTGTCCCGTAAGGAGTCCTATTACGGCCTTGAGTTTAGGTATGGTGCCACCTCCGCCTAGGGGGCTGCACGTGTTAAACGTGATTTTTTTGCCAATTTTATGTTCCCCTCGAAAACAAAATCGACGGGTTTGAGCGTTTTTCCGGTAAATGTCTCTGTTTCGTTTTCGATGCGGCAACCTGTATATTATTTAAACACAATTTCTTCCCCCAGTTTTATTCTATTTTTTTACATCCTTCGGACACTTCCGTGCTATCGCCCTAATTCGTCTGTAGAGTTGTGGCACTGCAGCCCACCATTTAAAGGTCCTAGCACTTTCCGTTCACCAATTCACTCACTCGTTCACTGACATTCATTCCACGTCATCGATTATTAAACTAGGCTAAGTCCCATGGTGAAGTGTTCCAGTCGATATCCATCCACGACGTGACCAGATGTCACTTCTTAACTGTTAACATAGTTACAGCCAGGATACACATACTAAAGGTATGCTGACTTTCGACACAGATTAACCACAACTTTCGATTCAAAATTCGTCCACACCGCGCATGACGTAATGCGGAACGAATTTTCAAGTTATTTTGATACTTTTCGATTGTGTACTGTAAAATAATTTAATAATTTATGTTTTTGTGTTAGTAGTGACTATATTTTCCTATATATAACAGGAAAGAATTAAATTAATCTTTAAAATGCCGGGCTGCGCAGTGGAGATATTTCCGAATGCCACCAAATATGGGTAAATTCTTATCGAAAAAAGGACAAACTTAATTGAAATTGCCCTATCCATTTTGAGAAAAGTAACTGTGAGATTCCTCTTAAACATAAACGCAAGAAAAGAAAACTGAATTCCACCAGGTGCACGGGCCTCATTAAGCAAAGAAAATAAATCGGTATTTAAAAATTTTAGCAGATAAAACAGTAGTTTACTGTCCCAATACAACGGTCCTTTTGAAGTAATGCCATGTATGAGCAGGACACGAACATATATAAGAATAAGATAAATGAATAGGAAAATTGGTTTTGAGTATTTTCAAAGTAAACTTGACAAAAAATGTTTAAATTTACCAAATAAAAAGTAATGTTTTTGTTTACTTACTTTTTGTTAATAAATAATTTATTTCTGCACACTTATTTTTATTTCACATAATAAGAAAAGAGATTGCAAGAGAACTACTACGCCCAGAAAGTACAAATTTGAGTCAAACTTGTATTTTTAGTCTATATCTTTTACTTATAACCAGGTTATGGATTTTGTCACAAAATACCTATAATTTATGAGAAAAATTAATATTTTTATTAGTGTTATTTACCTTAAACCTTCATATTTATAAACGAATATATTACAAAATAACCAATACAGCTTAAGTAACTGCATAAAATCTAAAATTGGCAACATATCGATTTTTAAACCTTATCTACCATTTAATGCTTATAATTCTATGTCCCATGTGACGTCACCGTCAGTCAGCTGCATGCTCAGGGACATACCGTTGGTCTGTGTATCGTGTTTACAGCTCAATGTTCCTTTAATTATTCATATGCTTGCTATTTTATCTATTTTTTCATCATTCTATCCAACATAAAAACTCCTATACTTCTTACTCCATCCACAATTTAGTATTACATTTAAATCGCAGCATAGCACCGCATCAAAACTTTAAAAGTACAATTTTCTTTATTTATTATTAATTTTATTGATTTTAGATTGAGAATGTAACTCAGAGCAACGTAAACATTTTTGATATAACGGTATCAACAGATAATATTGCATTATTCGTTTGGTTGGAAACAGATGTAAAAGGAAAATTCAGTGAAAACGGATTTGTGCTAGTGGATTCGAGAAAAAATGTTCGCTTCGTCAGTGAATACCAAACTTCATTACACGATTTGCAGAAAAGTCTTACCATCACGAATTTACTTGACGAGCAATTTTTTTATTCTAAATCGGTGTCATCTGCAATGACTGCTTCCATTTCGATCATTGTGTTTTGTGTAGGCTTTAATTTCGTTTATAAATAAATATTTGCATTGATTATTAAAATTGTTTAAATAATGTGGTTGTAATTTTTTTTAAACCTTCCAAACACCCTTGATGTGAACCACTAGCGTTCAAGGTTCAAGCATAGTTAGACTGCTGCCTAAGAAGGAGAACGGGAGCCACTTAAGCAATTAATGCAAATAAAAATGTAGTATTGGCTTTCGAATAAATCAAAATACCTATATGGATGGTAATAAGACTCACTATATGAACAAATTTTTGTTAAAAATCAAATACAATAATTAGTCTATAATGTTAAAAAAAAAATGTAATAAATGACAATATTTGGATTTTATGAGTTTATGAAATGAACTGATTATAAATATGAATTTTAATGCGATTGAGAGACCCTGATGTCACATAGAAGTGTTTTGCTTAAGAAAATCTGTCATATACTGTGACGAAGACACTAACTTTTTCATTAGTTTAATTATAAAACGTTTAATTAATGTTAATTTCCCTTTAGTTTAATTTTAAGTACGTTTGGTTCAAGTTAATTTCCGCCTGATAATCGTTTTGAGGAACCTCTTGTATTTTTGTTTATTAATAATTGTCGGTTTTGAACGTTTGCGAGAATCCCCATATTTTAAAATATTTTATTATTTGCTTGAATTCGAGAATCCAACGTTAAAAGCAAATGTCAAAAAGACGTTTTTTCTGCTATAAATATTGGCTACTCTGAGGGTGAAGTATTTAAGAGGCTCTTATCGAGTACTCTTTCTCTTTTGCTGCCGTTAATTTTGCTCGCCTTTTGCTGCCCGTTTGGTGAGCTACAGAGAGTTTTCTTGTGTTATGTCTCGTGCTGACACACCGGAGATCGTTATTGAAGGTAAGAATCAAATCATAATATTTTTACTTTCTTTTTTTATTTTCTTGGGCATTGACCGCCGCTAAATAATTATTTGAATAACCAGAAAAAATTAGTTATTTTTAATTTTTATCCTTCCTTTATTCTAATTTTTTATTTGAAAACCGCAAATAAATTTTCTGAAGTTTCGTAGAGGGTTGACAAAATGCTTCACAGGACCACCCTGTCGACTATGCTTTTAAAAAAATTCGAGTCTCTCAGAAGTTAGAACGATTTTTCTTGCTCCGACAATTTACTTTGTATTTTTTCACCGCAGTTCAGGCCGGCTGCGCCCAGGAAACTACTGTTTACGGAGTTACCTAAGACTCGACCGTAAAGTATCAATTTTTGAAATCCCAACCCTTATTCGCTTCTACTAATGAAAACGAATATTAGTATTACCGCCCTTATTCAACCTTTAACGCATCTTTATAACTATTGATATATTTATGTATTTTGTATTGTGATTCAGTCTTCGAGAATATATATTTCATAGAGTGCGCATTCAATAGGGTTTGTTTACGTTATGAGGGGAAATGCCGGGACACTATTACCAGTGTCGCATCATTTTTACGGGGTTGCAATTAATATAAATAATAAATTTGAGACATACCTTCAAAATTCTTTAAAATATGCACATATTTTATAAACTTGCATTATTGAAGTAGGTACCCATCTAGTAATAATAAATAAAAATAATAATTATTATTATTATAACGGAAAAATGAAGGTTTAAATAATAAGCAATAAAAAAGATAAAAAGCTTATATTTAAAAATCAAAAATTAAATAATTTCGAACGATTTGACATGCCAAGCAAAACGAACAGACCAATGGGAATACTGGACACTATTTTTCCCCCTTGTACCAAAACAAAGTCCATTTGGACGATGGCTCTAGTAATATATGCTCGAAGGATTCAGTACCCCGTGGAGGTATTTGTACTGGCTAAATAGCTTTTCTTGGAACGACCGTTTCATGAATTTTTTTAGATATAAGTTGAATTTATTTGCTTATTTTGTATTTTGATTCAATACAACGTGAAGCTATTTATATCTACTGTTTAAATAGCTTCCCAGGGATTACCGTTTCATGAGGTTTTTTTTAGACGTAATTGGTATTTATTTAGTTAATTGATTTATATTTATTTTACCCATGTTCGACCAAATTTGTGACCATTGTCGTTGAATTTCTGGTGTTTATCTTGTCCATCCCGAATTTTACCTAAATTTTCTTTCAGAGAGGTAACTTGGCAACCGTGGTTGGAGTGGGTAGGTATTATGATCTTTCCGTTTTACCCCACTAGTAGCTGGCCGCTATTTTACTCCACTGAGCCTACTTTCAGTGCACTATAGGTGCACTTGAGTGTCGCAGAGCAAATTGCGTTAGCGAAACTGGCGCCTGGGCTTGAACAACCCTTATTCTAATTTCGCCACTCTCAGCGCCACCCACGACTTCTACTTCACAGTAGGTGAAGCCAGAAGGTTATCCCAATAATAAAAAAGGTGATACGGCAGATTAGGGAAATTACAGAGGTATTATTCTACTAGATCACGGTGCTTGGGAACCAACTTTAAATGAAAAGTTTATTTACTAGACTTTTTTTCGGTCAAAGTATTTCTGAAGGGCTATAGATTGACGCAATATATTTTTTAAAATCGGTTCCAGCAGCCGTTTTTGAGGAAAACTCGATTTTTAATGAAAAAGTAACCTTTTTTTTTTACTTTTTTGCTTGTAACTTGCGCATTTCACATTTTCTCGGCTTGCCATAAGTAAATTTCAATGGGAAAATGTCCGCTCTACAAAAAAGCATCATTTACTTTTTCTCTAAAATCAGCCGATTTTGAGTTAAATGAGATCTCAATTAACTCAAAATCGGCTGATTTTAGAGAAAAAGTCATTGATGCTTTTTTGTAGAGCGGACATTTTCCCATTAAAATTTACTTTTGGCAAGCCGAGAAAATGTGAAATGCGCAAGTTACAAGCAAAAAAGTAAAAAAAAAGGTAACAAATGATATCTCATTTAACACAAAAACGGCTGATTTTAGAGAAAAAAGTCATTAATTCTTTTTTGTAGAGCGGACATTTTCCTATTGAAATTTACTTTTGGCAAGCCGAGAAAATGTGAAATACGCAAGTTACAAGCAAAAAAGTAAAAAAAAGGTAACTTTTTCATTAAAAATCGAGTTTTCTCAAATACGGCTGCTGGAACCGATTTAAAAAAATATATTGCGCCAATCTATAGCCCTTCAGAAATACGTTGACCGAAAAAAAAGTCTAGTAAATATACTTTTCATTTAAAGTTGGTTCCCAAGCACCGTGAGATGTTAGTTACAATACAAAATCCTAGCTAGGATCATAATAAGCAAGTTGGAAAAATACTTAAACATCCAAGTGGGATAAAAAATCTGATGAGTTCAACACATGATATTATTTTACACTTTTCCTCAAATTTTTCCATTACGATCTATTTTAGAGAAACCATGTATTAAACAAAAATTATAGAAAATGATTTTGCAAATAACTTTTAAAGAAATTTCTTCTCCAATCGTAAATGACAAAGATATTCCTTGAAGTAAAAAAACGACACCTTATAAAGTAAACCCTCCTCACCCCCCAAATGCCTAGACTATGTTCAAAATCTAATCAACTCATTGCAGGATGGATTAAAGATTAAGTGTAAAATTTGATGTTTTTCTTTTTATCCGTTATCGAGTTTTCTTCAAAATTCGAAATTTGCACATTTTCTTAAATATCTCGAATATCGTCCATTTAAGAGAAATCATGTATAGGACAAGAAATATAGAGAATGACATCACAAGCAACTTTTAATTAAAAAATTTTCTTAAAAATTGGATTTTTGCACTTTTTCTCAAATTTTTCGAATACAAACCATTTTAGGAAAATTATATATAGGACAAATTCAGGGTAACGTACCGAAAACTTCCCATCCTGAATATCTTCCTTTCAGTAAATAATAAAAAAAATCTGATGTGTCCAACACATGACTTTCCTATCTAGTTATTATAGGCTTTTTCCGGTTATTTTGTACAACCTATTGCAGCATCTCTATAAATGTTTAGAGGATAAACTAAATATATACATTGGCCACATACATCTACCTCGAAACATTTTTCTATAGATATTCATTGAAAACGAAAATACTGAAAAATTAAAATTTACTACTTTTCCATTACGGTCCATTTTAGAAAAATCATATATAAACAAAAATTATAGAGATCGATAACGCAAACAACTTTTAGTTCAGCAATTTTCATAAAAATCAGAATTTTGCACATTTTGTCAAATTTCTCGAATATTTCAGGAAATTTTGACATAAAACAAAAATTATAGATAATAATATTAGAAGTAACTTTTATTTGAACAATTTTCTTCTCCAAACATAAATAACAGATATATTCCATAAAATATAAAAACGGCCTCCCATAAAGTACCCCCCCAGATGTTCCGACTCTGTGCAAAATCTAATCAGTTCGTTAGACGCTAGAATAATGCTTAAGTTTAAAATTTGGTGTTTTTCTGTGTATCGGTTCATGAGTTATGCGACCTACAGACACACACACACACACACACACACACACACACACACACACACACACACACACACACACACACACACACACACACACACACACACACACACACACACACGCACACGCACACACACAAATATATAATTTTAGCCACGTCGCGCGCGACCTGCCGTATGCGATTTTTTAGGTGCGATTTTTTAGGTGCGATTTTTAACAGACGAAAAGCAGCGACACACGTTCAATATCAAAATAGAGGTGGAAGAAGTAGCAACGGTGTTGTCTATTCGTCGGCAGAAAAAATTGAAACGACGTGGGTACTGGGTTCATCCATTATTTATAGATCCTTATGTAAAAGGCGCTTTTAATTTATTATATAAGGATTTACGTCAACACGAAGATCAGTTCTTCAAATATTGCAGAATGCTAGAGCAGATTCTCGAACAAATATTTTTGTCGCTATTTTATTTCAATTAACTGTTCAATATTTGAGATTGATCTTGAATATCGGATATAAATTCATCTATATCAATACAACTATCAGGTATTTTTTCACTGGAACTGTCGAAAAGGTAACAAGAAACTCCAACTCTCAACT